AATTCTATCTTCACTTTCATTGAGGCGGTTTTTACAACTTTCAATAGAATTTTTGATTTCCTGTATATCTCTTTGCATCTGCTTTATGTATTCTGTTTGTTTCTTATATTGTTCATCCAGGGATTCTACCTTTTAGTTTAGTTTGTCTAATTTTTTAACTGTGTCTTCTTTAGATATGTTCAGCATTTCTTTCATTTCTTTTATCATTTCTTCTTTTACCTGGGAGATTATTTCTAGTTTGAATTCCTTTAAAGCTTCCTGGAGTTGCTTCTTTATTTCAGTTACTGTTATTTCAGGTATTTCAGGTGTATGGCATATATTTTCTTCTATGTACATAGCTCCTAAGGTTTCTTGAGATGGGCTGGAGGTTTGAGATTGCATTCTGTTCTTTTGTTTTGTCATTTTCCTATATTTTGTGCTTCAAGTGTTGTTCCAAGGCTTCCCCTGGATGTGTTGTAAATCGTCTCCTGTGCTCTAGGCTCCTGGGACTGAATGCAAGTTGCTGAGCTTGGTCCAGTTAGGCCCTCAGGCCCTCCCATGCCACCTTCAGTGTTTCAGGTAGCTGGGCAGGCAGCTAATCACTGTGGATGATGGATTAAAGCTCTCCCCGGGTGAAGACCAATGCCCTGGAACTCACTTCACCTACTCTCAAATTTCATAATTGAAGAAGGTCACTGGGCATAATATAGTTGGTCCACAAAACCTCCCAAGGCTAGTCTAGTGTGCCTGGGCTCTGGATGGGTCCTTGAGCTCTGGAAGAAATGATCTTAAAGTCTCTTGGGGCTCAGGGTGGCGTGCAAATTTACCCCAGCTGCCAGCTGAGTTTCCTGGTTTAGGAGAAGCTTGCTGGACGTGTCTTGGGCTGGCCTGAAACCTGCCAAGCACAGCCCAGTGTGGCTGGGCTCTGGGTGGATTGTGTTACTTAATATCTATATGTTTATGGGGTTCTTGTGAGGTTTTTTTGTCATTAACTTTCAATTTTATTGTGGTATGATCAGATAATATGCATGGAATTATTTCAAGTTCTTTGCACTTACTTAAGCATGTTCTGTTGGCTAATTATATGGTGCATTTTTAGAGAATGACCCATATACAACTGAGAAGAATATGTATTCTGATGTTGTTCAGTATAAGTCTGTACATATCTAGTAGGTCCATTTGTTTACAAGTGTGATTCAGTTCTGTTATTTCTTTGCTAAGTTTTTGTTGTGTTTATCTGTCTCTTTGTGACAATGGGATGTTAAGGTCCCCCATTATAATTACATTATTGCTTACTTGATATTTCATGTGCATTAAAATTTATCTTACATACTTGGGTGCTCCCATATTTGGTTGCATATATATCTATGACTGTAATCTCTTCCCCTTGTAGTTTTCTACTAAGTATGTAGTGACCTTCAATAAAGAAGGTTTGACCATTCTTGGTTTGAAGTTCACATTGTCTGCAAACAAAGTAGCTACCCCTGCTTTTTTCTGGGATCCTTTCACATGGAGCATTGTTTTCCATCCTTTGACTTTCAGTCTATGAATTTCCTGTAGAGTTAAATGTGTTTCTTGTATACAGCATATTGTTGGAGTTTGTTTCTTAATCCACTCTGTCAGTCTGTTTCTTTTTATTGGTGAGTTGAGGCCATTTACATTGATGGATATAACTGATATGTACCTACTTATCTTTGTCATGTTATCTTTGTGTTGTTAGTTGTCTATTTGTTCTGTTTAAGTGTTTTCCCTGTTTGGTGGTTTCTGCTGTTGTTTTTGGAATTGTAGACATCTTTATCTCTTTCTAGAGTATCTTTCAGTACTCTTTGTAATGTTGGTTTTGTGGTCATGAATTTCTTCAGTTGTTCTTTGTCAAGGAAGTATCTTATTTCTCCATTGATTTTCAAAGATAGTTTTGCAGGGTTAATCAATGTGGGTTGGAAATTGTTTTCTTTCAGGACTTGAAATACTTCACTCCAAGCTCTTCTTGACTTGAAATTTTATGTTGAAAAGTCTGTCATGATTCTGATATTTTTTTCTTCATAGGTGATCTGTTTCTTTTCTCTGATAGGTTTTCATATTCAGTTCTTGTGCTGACTTTCTGGAACCTTAATTATTTTTTGTCTGAAGATTTATTTTGGTTATGACTAACTGGGATTTTTGATCCCTCATTTATCTCTATACCGGATTCTTTTCTGATACTTGGAAAAATTTTTCTATTATTTCTGAAAATAGTCTCATGTCATTTGTGTTGACCTCTGCTTTTTTACTGACACTATTAGTCTTATATTGTTTCTCTTTGCATCATCTTGCAGCTGTTGAATTGTTGTTTCCTGGTTCCTTGCTATTTTTAAGAGATCTTTTCTTTTATGATCATAAGCTTCCATCCTGTCTTCAAAGTCTGAGAGTTTATTTTCAGCTCCTTTCAAGCTTTTTTTTTGGTGAGCTTTCATTAAATTTTTAATTTTCTGAATATCACTTTGAATCTGTTTCATGCATTATAATTCTGTCTTATATTGTTCATTCAAGGTTTCCATCATTTTCTCATGTTCCTGTTTTTTAGTCTACATTTTTTTAAGATACACTCAACATTTCTTTCATAATGTTTGTCATTTCTTTTTTTACCTTAGAAATTATTTCTGATCTGATTTCCTCTATAGCTTCATAGAGTTGTTTCTTTACTTCAGTTGCTATCATTTCAGAAAGTTCAGTTGTGTGCTTTCCAACATTTTCCTTTTCAGTGTCTTCTGAGATTGTTCTTGGTGGGCTGGATGACTGAGACTGCATCTTGCTCTTTCATTCTGTGATTTTCTTCTAGGACTCATGTGCCCAAGCACACCTGATATATTGCAGTGGGATGCTAGGCTGAGCAGAGCTTTGATCCTCCAATATCTATGTGGCTAGATGGGGTGCACACACAAACTATGGCACTGGAGCCTTCCACTGTGATGGAGAGATCTTGAAATCACAAGGACCCATCAGTCAGCTGTCACTCCCTGAAGGTTGGCTCTGGGGCTCTGGGCTGGGCAAGGTTTGGTGCCCCCTGAGACCTATGCAGCTGGCCAGGCATTCCCTTGATGGATTGAGCTGGAATACTGGGCTGGGCAGAGCTCAAAACCTCCATGCAGCTAACAGGAATACATCCCTGGAGTATGGCACCAGGCCCTTGTCTGGGTAGAGTTCAGAACCCCCAGGACCCACACAGCTAGCCAGGGTGCACCCCCAGAGAATGCATCACTTTTCAGTAAAATAAAACTGTTGGCTATTGAAGTTACATGAAATCTTCATCATTTTGTGAAGATTGAAATCTTTATAATATCAAGTCTTCCAACTCACAAACATATACATGTTTATTTACTTAGATTTCCTCCCCCAATAAAACTTTCCCAAAACTGTTCTATAATTTTCTGACCATATGATTTCATTAGAAATTGCTAGGTATTTGATGGTTCTAATAGTATTCTAAATTATGTCTTTTGTTAAATTTTTAAAATTAATCCTGATATATATATATATATAGAAATACAGTTAATTTTTGCACCTTCACTTTTTTTCTGCAATCAGCCTACACTCACTCATCCCAATAGTTAACCTGTAGATCCTTCAGGATTTTTTTATTTAAAACACAATTTTCTATCTTCTTTTACAAATTTCATAGCTCTCAAAAATTTGTGTTACTTATTACCTGAATTAAACTCCCAGTAAAATATGGAATAGAAATGGAAAAGACAGTCATCATGTGTTATTCCCACCCTCAGAAGTAAAGGGTTAAAAATTTCACCATTAAGTATATTATATTTTACATTTAAGTACACCAGATTAAAGAACTCCTCTTTAAAATTTGCTATTATTTTTCCTCTATACTGAAATGAACTTCAATATTACTACATTCACTTTGCTAATTCTTCTGTTAAGAGTTTTACAACTATGTTGCTGAGTGTGATTGCCCTGTGTTGTTCTTCACTATAATAAAAATCTTTGCTCTGGTTTTGATATCAAGGTTATGCTTCCTTCACAAAAAATGTTGAGGGACATGGTCTTTTTTTTCCCTATTTTTCTGAGACAGTTTTTGTATAAATCATAGCATTATCTCTTCCTTATGTATTTGAAGAAGTTGCCAATGAAGCCATATGGGCTTAGAATTTCCTTTGTAGAAAGGTCTTTTATTTGGGGTTTGATTTATTTAACATTTGTAAGATTGCTTAGGCTTTCCATTTTTTCTTGCAGATACAGTTCTCTATGACCTGCTCATGGCTGCTATGGTGATGTTGTCTGTATTTCAGGGTATTATTCTTTCCTCTCTTCTCCCTTCTTCCCTTCTTACTTGGTACCGCTCTTTTTACTCATTATAGTACTCATCCTTTGGTCTCTCTAAAGCTGAGGACTGGTGTCTTTCATCAATTCAGAAAATTCTTCTTTTTCTCCTCCCCATTCTCTCCAGTACTGCTACCGGCACTGTGATTACACTCTGAGTGGATGTTCTCCTCTGGCCTTCCTGGCTCTTATCACTTTCTTTCTCCATGCTGGCCTTCAGGTCATGTTTTTAGGCCACTCTAATTCACAGACTCTATCTTCAGCTATGCCTATCTTACTTTCTTCTTTTTTTTTTTTAATTTTATTTAAGGAGAAAAAAGAAAAAAAAACAGAAAAAAGGTACAAGTTATACAGAATTTCAGAAAAAATAAACAGTAGCAAATCACTAGTTAATTACATATTGTCATCTTAGAAATAGTTGTTAAAGTTACAAAATTAAAGCATATAGAGGGGACTTTCAAACAGTGAGACTAGAAACAGTTTTGTTGGGGCTGGGGATTTAGCTCAGCGGCATGAGTGCCTGCTTTGTAAGCAGGCAGTCGTGAGTTCGATCCCTGGTACCGATAAAAATGAAAATGAAAAAGACCAAAAAAAAAAAAGAAACAGTTTTGTTCAATGATTCAACAAAACTCAGTAATATGGTTATCTATCTTATACACTTAAATATATATGCAGTTATATCTTTTAGAGAACTTTCATTTCCTTTATTTTGTACAATGACAATTACACATTTTGGGTTTTATTACTCCCACAGTTCTTATTACTTTTTTTTTTTTTGAAGAAAGTAAAACCAAATGTGACATACCAGGACAGATTCAGTCACATCAAAAAGATGGACATAATACATAATGTAAAAACAAAATACAAGGTGATCAACAATGGTTACCATAATGTCTCTTGTTATGTTAAAAAGAATTGCCTATATCATCAGTTATAATAAAATTGAACAAAAGAGTAAAGAATAAAGTAACAGTAAAGAGGACTTCAAAAGAAGATAATAATCAACCAGAATGGGCATCACAATGAATCTTATTGTCTTCATAGTTGTTGCCTATACTTTCAAACTTGGTACTATCTAGCATAACAGAATGGAGGAAAATCAGTCAAAACAAGATGGTGAGAGCAATACAGAGTTTCAAATCAAGTTAACAGGAAATCAAAGTGAGTTACTATAACATATTCTGCTATTTATTTTTCCCTTAATTAAAAGGATAAAAATGAAAAATGAAAAAGTAGATAATAAAAAGGAGATTGAGATAAAAAAAAAAGAGGGCATAACAACAAAACAGTGAGGTCAAAAACATAGCCATTTAAGCAAAATAGTGTTTCACCACAAGATAATCTCGACATAATAGTAGTTACCATAGTGTCTCTTCCCTTAAAATCTTTGGGTATAACTTCGTATACTGTAGCATCAAACATACCACAATGTAAAACCATTCAAGAGAATGACAGTATTACAGGGTATTTAGAATCAACTAACAGAAAATAAACAATGGTTTCTGTATAATCTCCTTGTCTATAAAAGTTTTTGTTTATATTATCACATATAATAAAATCTAATAAGATACAACACGTTAAAACCAATGGACACAGAAGAACAAAAGCTTGATGGGACTTCAAAACAAGAGGATATTAAATCAGCACTACCTATTATGATGTCTTGTTTTCTCCAAAATGGTTGCTCCTACCATCCAGTCTTCTCTGCCTCATTTCTGTTGAGCTCTTTTTCTGTCATTAGTTGTCAGTTTGTCCTCTTCATTTTGCTTTCTGCTTCATTCATTGTGGCCGTGAAGCTTTCTGCTTCATTCATTGTGGAATCTTGGTATTTCTCTTTTTTAGAATATCCTGCAGTAATCTCTGTAGAGTTGAATTGGTGGTTGCAAATTCCCCTAGTTCCTCTTTATCCTGGAAGCACCTTGTTTTTCCATCAATTTCTAGGGACAGTTGTGCAGGATATATCAATCTTGGCTGGAGGTTATTATCTTTCAAAGCTTGAACTATTTCCCCCCACGCTCTTCGTGATTTGATGGTTTGTGCCAGGAAGTCTGCTGTAATTCTGATGGGTGTTCCCTTGTAAGTGATCTGTTTCTTGTCTCTGATGGCTTTTAAAATTCTGTACTTATATTGGATTTCTGGAATTTTGATTATTATATGCCTGGATATAGCTCTGTTTGGGTTGTAGGTGGCTGGGGTCCTGTATGCCTCATACATCTGAGTATCTTTACCTTTTGCTAAATTAGGGAAATTCTCCTGGATTATTTCTGTGAATAGCTTTTGTAGTTCATTTGTTTGAGTCCCTACTTCTTCTTTTATGTTCTTAATTCTTAAGTTATAGATCCTCTTATCATCTTCTAGTCTTTGTATTATTGCTGTTTGTTTTCTTGTTATTTTTAAGAAGTTTTTCATTTCATGCTCCCACCTTACAAATCTGTCCTCCACTTCTGATAATCTATCCTTAGTTTCTTTCAAGCTGTTATGCCAGCTTTCAATAGAGTTTTCAGTTTCCTGGTAATCTCTGTGAACCTGCTTCACGTATTCTATGTTTTCTCTATTTTCTCCATCAAACAATTCTCCCCTTTTTTTCTGTTCTTCCATTCCACCATCTGTTTTTTCTTGGGTGATGCTTAGCATTTCTTTAACTATTCTACTTATTTCTTGCTTTATTTTGTTAAATATTTCACTTTTGAACTCGTCTATGAGGCTCCGGAGATATCGCTTTATGTCTATTGGTGCCGTGTTTGATATTGCATGTTTTCTGTCCTCCTTTGCATTTACCTTTCCTGGATCAGTGTTCTCAGGATTGGGGACTGAGGACCCTTTCTTGTTGCTCCCTTTTCCCATACTTTTTGTTCTTTCCATACAAGTATATGTAGGAGGCCCAGTTTTTTTTTTTTTTTTTTTTTCTCTTTGTCTGTTGCAGTTGTTTGAATCTGCCAGCTAGGTGTTCTTGCCCACTGCAGTGTACTAGGGAGACACAGACCTGAGCAGCCTCTGCTGGGCCCATCCCTCCAGATCAACCTACTGAATGCTTCACTGCTAGCGAGCACCGCCAGGCGCAGGGACCTGATTTGGGCTAGCCTACTGGATCTTAGTCCACGGTGTCACCAAGCCAAGCACTCCCCACCACTCCTGCTAGAGAGGGGAATATGCGACTAAAGTCACTGCAGGACCCTGTTCCGGCTAGTCTGCTGTTCCCAGAATGTCCTCTGTTGGAGCCTCCTAGTCTATGAAAGGGTCCCCATTTCTCTCACTCACCGCAGGTCGATGCAGGGCTCCCTGCCAGTCCCTCTCTCAATGCCATTTGGTCCGATTCCAGCTCTCAGAGCTTTCACACGTCTCTCTCCCTGCCATGCAGATTGGGACGCAGTATCGGCAGCAGGAAATTCAAATCATGGCTTCCAATGGCATGGGATCCAGCTTCCGCACTGAGATTTTATCTGTTCCTGTTATAGCATCAAGATTGCATTTCCAGTTGGTTTCTCTCAGCTTACTTTGTTCTTGGGTCAGCAGGGTACATCTCCCCTCACATAGGACTCCTCACATGGCACCGCTCCTGGATTCTAAACTGGTAATCTCAGAGAGCCTCAGTGGCTGCTGTTATTTGTCCACCATGTTCTCCCAGAAGTCGCCTACCTTACTTTCAACCACTCGTTGAGTATCTAATCACATATTATGTTTTCCACTCTAGAGTTTCTATCTCATTCTTTTTCAAACACTCTAAATTCATTTCCCAGTCCCCCTGCTCCTTACTCATAGTTTAAAACTTCATTATAAAGTTCATTTAGCCATGTTAATCTTGTGTATCACATTTTCTATGTCTATAATCTCCATTACCTGGCTGTGCTGTCCTATTTTGCTGGTACCTACTTCTACTGGTCTTGTTTATGTTTCTAGGTTTCCAAATGAAATTTTTACATTTATAAGGAAGATATTATCGAAGCATTTAAGTATCCACTGGTTCATTTGATGGCATTGTTTATCATGATTTTGAATTTTTTAAAAAGTTTTCATTTCCTCATTTGTTTGGGAATGTCAGCATTTCTTTATCCTTCCCATTTACTACTGACATTATAGCCTTATTCTTCATCCACATAGTTAATCCAGTATCGTCTTCCTGTCTTAGCCTCCTAGAATAGATATAAGAAAATATATGGATCTATATTCATACCTATATCTATATCTCCATAGAGATATGGAGATATTACCACCCACTACCTCTTTTAACACTAATCTCTGGCCAGTTGTGCCTGATCATCAAGAAACTTGGAAACAATTCATTCCCCTCCAACTACTGCCATTACCCCTGAAATTCCTACACTCCTCCCTCTAAGCTGATGGTCCATGTGACATCTGGAAAATAGTGTACCTGCTCTGGCCACACCCCTATCTTACAGCATTTCTCACACCTTGACTTCTGCTCCCATGTATCCTTTGATTTCATACATAATGGCAGCCTCCACCCCAGTTGAGATAGGACAGATGTGTACCACAACACGATGGGTTAGAGTCATGTGCTCCAAGGTCAGGGGTGCAGGGACATCAGGAGCTGCAGTCACCCTGGGAGGATCAGGATCACTTCTCCGGTGCTTCGGATGTTTAAGCCTAAGGCAAGAGAAGAGAGATGTTCTTTAAAGGTTACATTCAAATTATTTTGCTGCAATAATTTAAACTCAGAATGGTGTTAATACCAATGCATACCTTTTTTCTCCAAATATAAGATTTTTTTCCCACTACAAGCCTACCTCATAACATTTTTTTTTTCCCTTTTTGGATCACAGACCTCTGTAAGAATTTAATTTTAAAAAAATACTATGAACCCCTTCTCCAAGAAACTCAGATGCACTTTATCATGTAGAATACATTTTAAGCAGTTTGCAACTCCTCAAATTTATGAATTTTAATTAGTTCAATCTACTGACAACTTATTTCCAGGCTCTCTGAAGACTTTTCCTTGTAAATTTTGCACAAAGTACACATCCACATTTACCAATATCCCTACCTTCTTCTTGATTATTTGAAGCCACACATTTTAGTTCAAACTGGAAATTTTCACCAGAGGGAAAATCATGGTGAAAACATTCTTTAGGATTAGGGAAATACAGCAGATAAAATTTGGGTTAGCATTTTGTATTTAACAATTCCTGTTTTAGAAGATGCTTTGAATATTACAGACTCTGGCTAAGTAAGACAAACCTGTTTCTAGCAAGGCACACTTATCTTTACCAAAACTAACTATTAACAAATCACCATTGGCAAGGGTGGGGGGGTGTGCATGCACACGTACGTGGGCACATATCTCTGCAAGTCTGTGTGTCTGCATATACATATATGGCAAAGATAGTGAGTTCAAAGGTCAGCCTAAACTGCATAGTGAGACCCTGTCTAAAAAAAAAAAAAAAAAAACTAACAGAAGCCTAACCACCAGGGTCTTGTTTGAAGACTTTTACAGTCCTCATCAGATTGATCTATTGTTATCTATATCCACCACACTTATTGCAGGTAGCATCATCAGAGGACAGGCTATAGTGGGTTTTCCCTGGATGAAGGGAGGCTCACCAAGTCAAACAGCTTTTGGTTATTTTTGGCGCTCCCTATCTGAGTAAACCCCAAACTGAAGTGACCTGTGTTTTGCTCTTACATAAATTTCTGGCTCCTGAGATGTGGGTTCTAACAAAGCTGCCAGCTGGCAGATGGCAGTTATAACAGGTAGCAGTGTAGCAAACCCAGGAAGGTACATGTGCTGGACTTGCTAACTGAGTTGAGCAAAACATCCTATGACAAGAATTCAGCACTCCTGGTGCTCCTGCCTTGGGCAGCATTGCCTTGTTTAAATGATCAAGCAGAGCTTTCCACAGCTCCAGAGGTGGTGTTGTGCTCACTATGCATACAAAAAAAGCTCTGACCCAGCAACCTGAGCACACAGCAATGAGGGAAAGCAGGGCTCACCCAACTCTGTCAGTCGTCAGTGACTGTTTAGTCTTGCAGAAGTGACAACAGGAGCTTACTGGTCCCTTCTGTCCAGGAATACTGCACCCTGGTGTGCACCAGTGAGTGCACTAGAAGCAGGAGATGCCTTGAGGAGCCATACAATCCTGTCTTTATAGGGCCCATCAGTGCAAGGGTGGCAGGAGGCAGGAGATGATAGGCCACCACTTCTATGCTCTGGAAAGCAAACCCTGAAGCTGGAGGAACCACAGGGCTGAGTACCTGCCCACCTTGGGGACTGGAAAGGGTCTTTGGAGATAGCAATAGGGGGCTAGCTGAGGATCCTGTCAGACAGACCTCGAACTTAGGTTTTTAAATTCTTGACTCTATTTACCCCTCTACTGCCAAACTCTTCTCCAGTGCTTTTTTTGTTCGTTTGCATTTTGCAAACATTTTTATTTATGGTTATTTTGTGGGGGACTTTGACTACTCACATGCCACACAGGGTCACTTGGGGCTCACTTGTTTTGCAGGAGGAATCTCTCCACGTACATCCTGAGCTCCAGCATTTCAAGAAGGTGAGGGCAAGCTGGCTGTGAGGCTGCTGGCCTGCAGGCAGTGGGTCTCCTGCCTCTGTCTCCCTGGGCATAGCTTCTTCTGGCTCTCTGTGCTCATCTAGGATCATGTAGTCCTTCTTTCAGAAAGCAAAGAATACTTTAAATATTTCATTGTTTTCATTACATTCTAAAAATGAGAAAAAAATATTTAAAACAGAATTTGGGAAATTTGGATAAGCAATGATTATTCAAGTGTGAATTTATTCATGCCTAGAATTTTTTATCACCAAACACATACTATTCTAGAAAAGAGATCCTCGTTGCTGAGACCTTTGTCACATTGCATGAGGCCAGCCTGCAGCTCACTCATTGAAAGTGCAGATGAGAAGAGTGGCAAGTGAGGTCAAAGAAAGGGAGAGGGGCCATTTGGGTTTTATTCAATTTTTAAATTAGACTCAAGATTAGATTTTTGTTATGATTTGTATCTAGATGCTCCCCTCACCAAAGCCTCATGCAGTCTCAGGCTTTTTTTGGAAGTGGCTGAATCTAGCGTATGTGATGCTAGGATTAAACGTGTGATTGTTAAATCAGTCCACTGATTATTTTGGCACCACCCTAATCTCAGCAGTGTAGATACAGTATAAAAGGAGCAGACAAGAGGTTAATTTCTCTTGCTTTTCCCTTTATCTTCTGTTGTTATGAACTGTTGCCCCTCAGTTATGTACCACCCTGCCTTGGAGCCAGCAGATTATGGACTGAAACCTCTACAAACTCTGAGCTAACTTAACCTTTCCTTCTTTAACTTTGGGTATTGAGTAGTATGTCTCAGCAGCAAGAAAAGTAACTGAGATGATTTTTATTTCATTACACCCAATTGACCTCTCTGTCCCTTGGTCATCACTACAGCAAGATCCTGAATTATGCTCCACACAGATGGACTGGATCCTCACCCTTACCCAACAATGGTTGCTGCCTACTAGTAGCTTCCTGCAACATTAAGAACTCCCAGGATAAAGACTAATGCGTGTAGTGCAGAGAAACAGTGTGAGTCCCATCCCAGCTCCCCAAAGCCTCCCCGATCTGTCCAGGGCAGAGCAGAGTTGTTTTGCAGCCTGTAGACCAACAGGACACTGACCAGACCTCCAGCTCTGCCCTCGATGTGCACATCTGCGAAGCGACCGTCCTTCTCCAGCAGCCTGCTCGGTGGCACCAAACAGAGAAAAGCAAACACAGAGGCAGCGTGAGGCCCAGCGCCCCTTGAGTACACACTGGCTGCTGTTGGCTGGAGCTCATCCCTGAAGGGGCCATGGTGACATGACAGTGACAAGGCACACTGGCTCTCCTGTAGCCTGCAGTTACAGACAAGCCATTGGGAACCACCCAGGATTAGAGCTAGAGACTAGACTTTCCTTTCTTCTATTATGGCTATGATCATGAATGCACCTTACTGATACTGCTGAGCCTGTTTGCAATCTCAGTGTGACAGTAGTCACTGGCAGGGCTAGGTGTGGCAAACATACATACCTTAGGGACATGCTCACAGGGCAAAAGCACTTCTAGCATGCAGAGGTTCTTACTTCTCTCAGTGGCAGTAAAGACATGACACTGAGCACACAGTATCCCTTCATCTCTAACCTGGGGACAGAAGCCATGATAATATGTGTCTGATATGGAATTTTCTCAGCCCAGCCTGAGCCCAGACCTTGGGTTCCTACTGGCCCTGTCCCAAAGTTTACTTCTTTGCCTCAATCTCAAGAAAGTCCCTCTGCTAATGCTAGTAGGTGATGACATCTTTCCGTTTGTCTTACTGGGTTCTCACAACAATGCTTTGAGAACACACAGCATTTATATCAGGACTGCTGTATTCTGGGGACCATAGGTTCTAGAGCCTAGTGTTTCCCAGCTGCCCAGTGGAATGTGGGCAAGGCTCCATCCACCTCTGAGGCACAGCAGCACAGAATGAGCCCCCACCAGACACCTGGAACCCAGATGAGCCAAGTTAGGAGAGCAGCCTGAGACAAAGGCACAGCAAGTCAGACTGATCCCTCTCCAGCTGGGACAGGACAGGTGCCATTTGTCTTCTACACACGACACAGCAAACACTGAGGCAGAAGCAAACACAGTCTTTTATCAACTTAGGAAACAGCTGCTTGACAAATTGCTTTCTTTAGAGACGTACTCAGGCCTGTGAGAGGACACACACTAATTAGGAGATGAGGTGCCTGCCTTTGAGGCACTTCCCACCTTAGAGGCTGGTGAAGGCAGCTCAAGGAAGGAGCTTGAGCCCCAGCTCAGCTAGGCGTGGTGGTGCACAACTATATTCTCAGCAGTCTGGGAGGCAGAGGTACACTGGGCAATTTAAAAACTTGAAGAGATTGTCTCAAGACAGTTTTTAAAAGCTGGTGACGTAGCTAACCATGAAAACCCTGGGATCAATCATTGGTACAAAAAAAAAAACAAAAAAAAAAACAAAAAAACTCATGCAGGGTGGGTGAGAGAGGAATACAGCCTGGAGGTGGTAAGTGGGCAGAAAATAGGAGGAAACAGTGAAAGGAACAGCTCAAAGCCACTCTCAGAGGGAGTATTCAAGGGAAGCAGCAGATAATTGAGCTGCAAGAGCTGAAGCAATGTGGTTGGCAGGTGTGGATGTTGGTGGAGATGGTGGAGATGTTCTAAAGTCAGAGCAGCTTTTCTGTCCCCTGTTGCATCTCTGCGTGTGCCCAGAAGCTGGGCCCCCCATGCAGGGAGCTGAAGCTTGGGGCTCACAGGTACACAGGGCCTCTTGGTGTTTCCCAGACCCTCCTTTAGCCCATCACCTTCCCTTTGCCCAGGAGCTGCAGCCCTGGCCTGCTAGAAGGAACCATGTCAGGTTTGGACCGTTGCCTCAGGATCTATGTGTGAAATGAACTCTGAGTGTGGCTGCAGGTGCAACAACTTTTTCAAGGACTTTTCTTTTCAAATGTGTTTTCCTTAGACCTGTGCATTTTTAAGTATCCTAAATATTTTTGTCTTTGTGAAAATGTAATGCATTTTCCTGCAACTAGGGGGGAAAATAGATTCTTAAAAAGTTGGGCTCCCATCTTTTTAAACTTAAAAGTTTACAGTTTTTATTAGTTACAAAAGTGAATGGGCTACTTCTACATGTGTAAGTTATTACCTACTACTTCAAATAGCTCCATGCCCTCCCAAGAGGCTTTGACTCCACTGTGAGGTAGGTATTATGCTATTTGGAGAGTACCCTTGGATGGGCCACAGATCCACCCACTTTCAGGCCCCTTGGCGCGTAGGAATTATGGACCAGCTGATGGAGGAAAAACTTGGACCACCAGTACTTCCATCCTGTCTTGCTGTGTTTCCATAATTACTTGGATTGACTTAACCTAAACAAAGAATAATTTGAAGGTAGTCTAGGAAATTCTGAGCAAAAGGAGAACTGGTTTGGGAAGGTGCCCAGATCCTACCCAGGGCCCCCTCGTGGGAGCCTCAGGAGCAGAGCCATTTGCATACGGAGGCCAGAATTTGATTTCCCTCTACCTAGCAGGTTCCCCAGCCACTGGACCTGATGAAAGGAGGCAAGAAAGTTACTAAAGCCCTTAAATTGCAACAACAAAGGCCAAGCTTCTCTTTTCCATCAAAACAGCTGGGCTGCTTGATTCAAATGCTAATAGCTGGGGCCTGAATTGGTCACTAAATGAGGGAGACATCCCCCATCCCCGCCCAAATGACCAGAAAGTGGCTCCTTAACTGCAAAAATCTGTAGGAGTCTCCTGGGTGGACGTTCTGTGAAATTGTTTCATGGGAAACATCCTAGAGGTGGGCTAGTTGGTCTCAGGAGAGGAGAAGGGAGAGAAGGGGGGAGGGGAAGAGGGGCTTTGGCTGCTCAGGAAGCATTCAGCCTCTCTAAATGAGGCCCCAGCTCCTTGATGCTTGCTCAGGAAGGCATGGGAACAAATCCGGGGCAACACTGAGTATTTGTAGGAAGAGAAAGGCCCAGCGTTAGAGTTGGTAGTGACACCTCAGTTCACCCTAATTTAGAAGTGGCCTCATCTCATTGGAGAGCCACATGTTTCTCAGGTCCCCAGAGAAATCCCCTGCCCAGTGCTAGGCCTGGCAGCGCTGTGTGTGGGCTCTGCAGGGCTAGGCTGAGGAGCTGCCCACACACTTGTTTTAGCCACTGTAGCTCACTACATGGGACCAGGGCCAGGGGAGCTGAGTTCTAGCCACACTGAGGAAGCTTCCTCAGCCCAGGTCCTGGCTTTGTGCACTGGGTAAAGTATACCTCTCCTTGGTCAGTGTTTGTTTAGGAGAGAAGGAAGCCGATACCTGCAGGTTCACACAACTCCAAGAAAGTGCATACAGAGGCAGGCAGAGGGCCTGCCAGCCCACCCAACATCCTGGGCATGCAGTTCCTGGTCTGTAAGAGGAGATGGAAGTAGTACCCATCTCCCCATCTCCTGACCTTCTTCACAATGCCAGGTGAGATGCCCAGTGTGAGGTGCTGGCACTGGCCTGTGAAGCAGTCCATGTTGAGTGACAGTTTCTTCACAGACTGAACTCAGGATAAATGATGGAGAGATCTAAAAACCTCTCTGTCTCACACTTGACACTACTACAGTGGGCGTCTTACCAGTAGTCAACAAGACATTTCTCTTATCTGTCAAACAACCGTATCCATTGCTTCTTTACCCCTACCAGTGCACCTAGTGGAAATTTTAAACATGGTGCCATGTTCCTATGAGAAGTGCCATCTGTGGGTGCCCTGAGAGAGCTGGTTCTAGTTAGCCAGCACATGCACATTTGTCAGGAGCAACGAGTTGAACCCTTGGGAGATCAAGCACAAAAAAGTTGCAGTAGAGGTCACATGTGTCTGAGATATGCTCCTTATTAGTGTGTGCTGAAATGTGAAAAAAGCTGAAAACACTGCAGAGTTCCACTTACTATGTTCCTATAATAAAATACATGAGTTTATTCTCTGTTATAATCTAGAGATTAAACAAAGAAGTATAGCTACCGTGATTCAGGATATCTCTCGTAGACAATACACTACTGAATATCACACACCCTTACGAAACCTGTTGTAACTAAACTGACAGCTTAAATAATATGGCTTAACATTAGATGTGTACAACTGCATGGCTACTCATGACCCTGAACCTAAGTACTCGCTTCCTTGTTTCTCTCAGATCAGCAGAGACCTCCTGAGGGTTAAGTTTATATGAGTAACACCCTTTTACAATGTCTAGTCGGGAGCAAAGATAATGATCCCTTCTCTCTCATCTCCAGCTTCTGCTTCCTAAATTCCTTGAATCTCTAAGTCTCCAGGGGTAGGGTTACTTCTGTTTACTTTTTATGTTTATATTGTGCCATTATATTCTGTCCTGTGATGGCATTTTATGTTTTTATTTTTCTAAGAAATAGTTTTAAGACCACTTTGTAGGATGACAATTCTTTAAAATTTCTATGTAAAAAGATTGAAGATAACTGTGAGACAATTTATTTGAAACACACGTTAAGAAATCAGAAGTTTAAGTACCACATTGATTCTCTTGGGTGAGAAACCCAAAGGGTAAGTAAGGACCAAAATGGAACATAGATATGGGGAAGTAGGAAAAAAAATATCCAAAGGGGAAGGGGAACAGGGAAGAGGAGGGAGGGCAAAGGGAATAGGTATAAAAAAGTAAAAATTAATGGCAAGAAAACAATAGAAACAGAGTTCTATAAATGGAAAAGGGTCCAAGGGAACGGAGGGGAATGGAAAAAAGAGAATTAAGATATACTGTGTACAGATAGAAATTCCTTATAATAAATGTGGTCATTATGTGTATCAAAAGGTACCAATAAAGTTAATTTAAAAATAAATAAATAAAATACACATGAAGGAGTAAGGGTGTATGTACCTGAGTGGTAAAGCGCTTGCCTAGCATACAAGAGGCCCTGGGTTACATACCCAGCATTGCAGGGGAAAAATGCATTAATATACAATCTAACAATATGGTAAATGTTTAAACTTTTTAAAATTATGACACTAAAAACACACTGCTATTAATCCCCCTCAAAATACTCTCCCTTACTTCAAACACACTCACCCCTCCATTGTTCCTGCCACTTTCAGAAGCAGTTCTGGGAGTCCACTCTCACGACTTTAAGACGTGTGAACAAAAATATGGTGAATGCTGTGACCAAGTGCCGCCCAATGGAGGCAGGTTTGTAAAAACATCACAGTGTGTCCTCATCCACCTTATTTGCCAGATCTAACACCATGCAATTTCTGGCTCTTCCTCAAACTCAAAATTATCATAAAGGGTAAACATTTTAAATTGATTCAGGACATTGATCCAGTCATACAGGCAGGACAGCAGTACAGCGGAAGACAGTCAGGAAAGAGGACTTCCAAAACTGCTTCACAAAGTGCCAAGAAAGCAGGATACGTGTGTTCAAGGCAAGGGGGAGTATTTTGAGGGTGATTAGTGGCTATGTGGCTTTTGCGCTAATAATTTTTTATTTAAATGTACTGTTTTTCAAAGGATCTTACCTTCTGGAGAATTCCATGTTAGCAAGGGAGGTAGAATACATTTGATGCAAGCGTCTAAGATATATCTTACTTCGGGAATCCTTCTTGTTCATTTTGCTGGCCATCTGGTTCTGTAAGACACATTTGATACTGAATTTTTTCAGGGTCATGTTTCAGCTTGCAGATAGAATTTGAAACTGACAAGGATGGGGACATATAGGGATTCAAATCTCCAACCTGCAAGTCAACTTGTTGCAAACAGTAACTGTGTCCTGTAATGTATTCGTGGTAGATAAGTTTAATAAAAGCTGTTCTCTATGGTTTGCATCTGTAACACTTAAAATGTTCTAAATACATTATTCACACAGACTTGTCTGCCTTGATGTCCACTAGAAATCAGTGAACAAGATAATGCCAATGTCTGTGGAGAACATGTGAGCTTAGAAAAGCACCCTAAGACTTAAAAACATGGAACCGGGGAAGTGGAGAAGAAAGCACAAGGCCCTGGGTTTGATTTCCAGTGCAAAAGAGAGAGAGAGAGAGAGAGAGAGAGAGAGAGAGAGAGAGAGAGAGAGAGAGAGAGAGAAAGAAAGGAAGAAAAAAAGAAAGAAAGAGAGAGAGAGAGAGAAAGGAAGAAAGAAAAACACTACTTTAGCCAAACATAGTTCAAGAGGTACCAAATTTGATGCCTCACATGATAGGTTTAAACTTCAAATATATTGAAATAAATTACAATATTTTTAAGAAAATGAAGTTCATTTGGTTTTGCTGTGCTGGAATCAAACTCAGGGCCTACAATATTAAGTGAGCAAAAACAGGCAAAAATGAACCAAGAAACAACCATGAATCTACAGCCAAGGAGGACGATAGGATGAGGGAGAAAGCTCATTTGGGAGCAATTTCTCAAGCCTCTGAGGTCAGTGATGGGCAAGTTACAGTTTATAAAACTCATGCTCATTCAGATCTACTCATGAGGAGTACTGAGCCTGTGAACATCCTTTGGCACATTAAAACCTGGCATCACTGAGGCATGAACAGCCATGGGCACGCAGACAAGCCAGGACCTCCAGGACTGGCCTTGACATCAGCATCATTGGGATCATCTGAGGAATGTGATAAAAATACAGGTTCCTGGGTCCTGACGCAGACAAAATCAGAACCAAGGGGAGGCCTAGAATTTTGCCTGTCTCCCAATTGCCCAGGTCTTTGCTATGCCCCAGTGCATTTGGGGACACTCACATGGTTGGCTGCGCTCAGAAAAAAAACTGAGACTAAACAAAGAGGCCTGTCTTTCAGGCCATCCCAATATATGTGCAAAACTTATAATCATATTCCTTAGTTAAATAATAGAATTTGAAGCTACATTTTATTAGTTATGTGAAAGGATTCATTTTATAAATGAGAAGCCTGTGTGTGTGTACATGCATGCATGCGTGCGTGCATGTGTGTGTATGTGTTTTCAGTTCAGCTCATTTGGCAGGAGTGGTGGTCTCTAGATTTCTAGACAAGCTCATGAAAATCAGAATGGGCCCCAAGAAGAACATCTGGTGAAGTCCTTCACTTTACCAACAAAAGGTATGTGCTGCATGAGTTTGTGCAGCTCTGTGCTTGAGTATGCATACATAGCTGTGTGTTTTCTACCTATTCCTCACTTTGGGAGTATTCTGTAGCTTCTAGCCCAGTAAATAAATTAAACAGAGCCCAGTTCTAGACTTCATAATCCAAAGCAGACATTCTTGGGGAAAAGTTTGTACATTGCACTGGCCAGTTTTTTTTTGTTTTTTTTTTTTTTTTTTTTTTTTTGGTCTTTTTCATTTTTATCAGTACCAGGGATCAAACTCAGGACTGCCAGAGGCTTATACCACTGAGCTAAACCCCCAGCCCACACTGGCCAGTTTTGAAAATTCACATTCAAGATGTTTACATCTGGTAAAGTTCCAAACTAATGTGAGCTTGAAATGCCTTTAGAAAACCAAGCCCCAAATATATCTGGCTCTGTGACTCACTCTGCAGGCAGATAAAGGTGACTCCTGGAACAGCAAGGGCTCAGCCCTTGGCACCTAAGCCCTTTTTCCTGGATTGTCTGCCAGGTTCCATTGCTATTATGGTGGTAAAGAATCATTGAGCCTTTTTTTTCTTCTTCCTCTCCACTAATGATTCTTCCGAATTTTTCTTTGAACTCCAATCCCTTTGCTTTCTCTAGGGCTAACATGCTTTAAAATCCCAGCTGGGAGCTAGGAGTGGGATATGCCTAAAATTCCAGCACTCTCAAAGGCTGAGACAGTAAGCTCACAAATTCAAACCCAGCAAATTAGTGACTTAGTAAGATTACATCTTAACATCAAATTTAAACATTTTAAAAAGGATTAGGGATTTAGTTCAATGTGAAGGCCCCATGTTAAATCTTTAGTACCACAAACACACACAAAAAAACAAACAAAAACAGAGAGACAGGGCAGATGTCTAGAAACACAGCTCCAGGACTGTTGAATTGTCAAGCCTGAACAGTCACCTCTTCCTGTCCTTGGGGGTGTTTTCCTGCAGGCTCTCGATGTTGGCATCTCTTCCTCCACTCAGTAAGCTGAGAAACAAGGTCCTTGGAAGAAAAGAAGACAGATATTTTTACAAACACCCTACAATGCTGCAATTCATTTATACTGTCATCCAAGTGATGTTCATGTTCCTCATATTTTTCACAATATAAGAAGTGGAACACTTGTCTTATCATTTGGTATGTGAATGCAGGGAACAAAATCCTACGATAAACTAAGACAAATGCAATCCTGTAACTCAGATCCCAACTGTCAGAGATAATCTCCTTCCTGATTTTAAGATGTGGACAGGCTGTGCTTCTTCATTTAGGCTTTCAGGTTTGACAGGGCCAGGGAGTATCTTTTGCATATTGGGACGCAATGTCAAATCATGCAGAATACCAGTTCTACTGTGTGGACCTAGATTTCCTGATTGAACATATACCAAATGCGTAAGACACACAGCAATATCAGCACCATCCTTCTCACATGTGACTGTTACTCTTGTTGCTGGCTTTATAAGTTTTGGAGATTTGGGTCTTCCTTTAAATTTGTCTGTATTTTTTTTTTCATTGAACCCCTCTGAGGAAAACCAAGAGATATTTTAGCTTGCTATTCAGGTTACTCTCATGTGCTCTTGCACACAGTAGAACTCAATGTACATTAACTGAAAAAACTAAATATTTACTCCTTTAAGTTCCCTATGGGACTCTTTCAAGAAGGCTGCCCATGGGCTGAGGATATAACTCTGAGGTATAAGCAAGTACCTGGCAAGTACAAGGTCCTGACTTCAATTCCTGGTACAAAAAAGAAAGGAAGAAAGAAAGAAAGAAAGAAAGAAAGAAAGAAAGAAAGAAAGAAAGAAAGAAAGAAAGAAAGAGAGAGAGAGAGAGAGAGAGAGAGAGAGAGAGAGAGAGAGAGAAAGAAAGAAAGAAAGAAAGAAAGAAAGAGAGAAAGAAAGAAAGAAAAGAAAAGAAAGAGGCTGACCATGTGGCCTGTCTTCACCCCACCTCTGTGATGCCCTGTGCCAGCTATGCCTTGGCCACTGGCCACTGGATGCCCTGGCAGTTTCTGTTCCCTGTGTACTTGAGTGCTTGTGCCAGCTCCTGCCTGCAGCCTTCCCCCTAGCTGCTCACTGCCCGTGAAGGTCCTGTCATCTGCCACCCTCCTGGTCCACACCACTTCTCTTTTGAGCCACATCCACAGACCTCAGCCTCCCCCTGAGTGGACCCCTCCCCACAGGACAATGCATCAATCAGAAGCACCTATTAGATGAGAAATGAGTAACAGAGAAGTCTGGAGCACATGGACCTCCTGTGGATACATAGCATACCCCAAAATACACAGCACAGACAATGGCTCCCAGCAGAGTGAGCTGAGAGGGGGGGATGAAGGGAAGCTGAGTATGACAGAGACAGGAAATGCATCCCCCAATCACTAGGCATCCTTCATCTTATTTAAGTACCCCAAATGACATGTGTCACTGCCAAGTACTCTGAATGCATCAAAAGCTTTGTCCAAACATGAAAACCTTTCTGAGCTTTTAGTCCTAAGTATATTGTAGCACACTTATTATGCCTTAGGCTAGTGTGGTAATTAGGAGTGAACATGAATATCATGATACATAATTTAATGACATTTAAAGGTACACTGATCTGTTAAAGAAAAACAGCACTTAAACATGACAAATTATAATTTTTTTCTCAAATCATCAGCATTATGAACAAGAGTGAAACTGAATTTCAAAACAATTTTGGAACTAAAGTATCTTAGAAATATGTGCATATATGAAGGAGAAATAAATTTTGAGTTATAAAAAAGAAGGAAATTATTAAAAGAACATAAAATTTACCAAAAATCAGGTCTTTCAAGATAATAACCACCAATGACAGCAATTTCTGAGGACTCATAAGATAAAAAGACATAGCTTCACTGAAATTTTTAATAAGAGCATTCAGCAAAACAAAACTGATAGAGGAAAGACTGAAAGTTTCAAATACAGACCAGATGTAGAAGCAAGTCCTCTAATGGAATGACAGCACAACTCCAAAGTTCACTACAAATATCATCCCCAGCAGATATCTCCACATGTTAGCAAATTATTTACAGGAGGAATGAAGGAGGCTATGAGGAAAATAAATAATGCAAAACAAAATAAAACATGAAAATAAACACAAATAAGGTCATTCTAGCCCAGGACTCTCAGGCCTCCCCACCCTCCAGCCCCATCACAGTCCTGCAGACTTAAAGGATGAAGTCCCAACATCAGATGATCCTGTGTCCCTGTACTAGAAAGAAGCAAGCACCAGTAGGTAAGTCTGCTAGACAAAAAGTATGGCCAGACAGTGATGAACCAGAGGACATCACAAGACCTTTCACTCAGCCTCTTCCCTGTGCCCCTCTGTCCCTGCATCAGAGACAAGGATGTTCCTTTCTTCTAGGAGTAGCATGGAGATACCTCTGGGATGAGGGTCTACAACATGCTTGAAACTACAGGGACAACAGGAAGTCAAGGAGGGGGCTTCTTGCTCCTGCTGTTTCCTTTAAGGCCAAGAGGCCATACTGAGGGGATGTGTCCTGAACCTCCTTAGTTACTGACCCTAGGTTGACGTCACCCATGAGGAGCCTCTGGAACTGCAGGGTCACCATGGCTGTTGGCTTCCTTACCACCTGTACTATAGAGACTGATCCTCTCACAGCCCTGCAAGTCAGAAGTCTGAAGTCAAGGTGGGAAAGGATCACATTTCTCCAAAGCATGAGGGGTTTTACTCTATACCTGTTTTTTGTCTTTGGTGTTTTAGGACAACCTTGGCCAACCCTGGTTTGTAGACCGTCAGCCTAGTCTTTGCCTTTACCAACTCATGGCTATCTCCCTTGGGAGTTTTCTCATCTTATAATAAGAACATCAGACATACTAAACATAAGGCTTCCACTACTCCAGTATGCCCTTATCCTAAATTATTACTTCATTACAGTTGAAAAAAAAAACCTTATTTCTAAAGAAGATCATGTTCACAGACACCATAAGTTAGGATTTGAATGTATTTTTGGTGGGTGAACAGAATTAAGCCTACAGAAGGCACTCTAACAAAGCACTCATGCAAAGTTGAATGTGCTTAGCCCGGGACTCGATGTAGCTCCTGAGAATCAGTTTAAGGCCAGTCTGACTGCTTTCTGGGATTTACCTTTTCCCTTCCAAATTAGCTCAGAGTTTTGGAATCAAGTTCATTCTCTGCCTAATCTTGGGTTGATAATTTTTGCCAGAAAGATCTGGCCTGTCCACCCTCAGCAGACCATGCCATTCTGGTCCTCCAGACAAAACAAACTCAAGTGGGCCAGTTCTGGAGTGAGCCCAGCTGGGGCTCCAAGGCATCCTAGCCCACCTTCACAGTTAACAGTGATTCCATGCTCTGCCTGCAGAACTGCCCATTTCAGAGGAAGTAACTCAGCCAGCATGTTGGCACTGAGCTAGCCTCAAGAGCAAAATTTCTTTAAAATCATGTATTTTACTAAAATCCCTGTTGATTTCCCTTGTGTCCCTTGAAGTGTTTGATTCTACTTTGGGATAGGGTCTTTTATCCCTATCTTTAGTGCCATCAATGCCCAAGAAACCTACATTGTCCATTTCAAGGCTTTTATTTCCCCTAAGACTGGGGTGCTTCCCCCTTTAGAGAAGTAGGAGTCTTTGTGCGAACCCTAAAATGTGCAGTGATGCATTTAACCTTTTAAACCTCCCTAAGCTGCGTAAGAAATATAAGTAAATAAGCTAATTAAAAATGAGCTAAGAAACTGAATAGGGGTTTCCAACAAGAATATATGAAATGCCAAACATCAGCAACCATCAGGGAAATGCAAATCTAAACTACAATGAGATACCATCTCACACCTGTTAGAATCATTGTGATCAAAAAGCAAAAGAAATGATGCTGGTGAAGACCTGGAGAAAAGGAAATCATTATACTCTGTTTGGAATGTAAATGTACAGCTGTAAAAGGGAAATGGGAAGCAATATGGACCCCTTCAAAAAGTTAAAAATAGAATTACTGTATGATCCAGCAGTCCCACTCCTAGGTACATCTGGAGGAAATGAAATCCATGTCTCAAAGTGATACGTGCCCCGTCCACCACCACTGGGCTCACCACAGTATTAATCACAACAGACAAGACATGGAAACAGCTAAACTGTCCATGAATAACTGGATAAAGAAAATGAGGACTATAAATAACATAAATACACGCACAGATCGATGTTACTCAGCCTTAAGAAAGAAGGAAATCATATCCTTTGTGACAACATGAGTGAGCCTAAAGGACACTATGTAAATGAAATAAACCAGACGCAGAAGAACAAATGCTGTGTAATCTCACTTTTATGTGGAGTCTAAAAAAATAAAATTCATAATAGCAGAAAGTAAATAGAATGGAAATTGCCAGGGTCTGGGAGGTGGGGAAATAGGGGGATGTTGATCAGAGTACAAAGCCTCAGTTAGGCACGGTGAGAAGTTCTGCAGAGTTAATTCAGCACAGTGATAATAGTTAATATTGTCTCACTGTTCTCACTGTCTTGCTTTGTTTTGATTAATTGTTTTGCTTTACTCAATATTCTGTTTTGATTGGTTTTGTTCTGTTTTGTTTTTGGTTTGATTTTGTTATACCTGATGGAATGGACAATCATTGTGAAGATAACAAGATACATTATGTTAGCTATTGTTGTTTTCCTAGTATCCTGCTTTGAAGTTTTGTACCAATTTTGCTGCTGTTTTGATTGGCTTTGTTCTGTTTTGTTTTGTTGGATTTTACTACCTTTAAAAAAGAAATAAAATAAAAATAATAGTTAATATTGTGTTATATGCTGGAAATTTGCTAAGAAATTTAATCTTATGTATTCACTTATGTAAGTATGTGAAATAATGAGTATGTTAGCTTAATAGTGGAGATCATTTCACATCAAAATATAATGTTATATACCATCTATACAATACATACATATACACAATTTTGTCAAGTGTAATTTAATAAACCTGGAAAATAAAAATGATACAGAATACTGTAACTTCATACTCAT